AAAGCAAGCGTGAGCGCATAATTAGTAATCCTGCGTGCCGGTCGCAAAGGCTAGCTCCCCGCGTCGATCGCCTAGTCAAGCGGCTTGTATTGCTAATGATAGTAAAACCGTTGGACAAAAAGTAATGGAATAGAATCGGTTACTATGCATGCACAACTCCTCGCCTCGCAAGTTATTGGTTCTCCTAATGACGGTAAAATAGCCTGCAAATATGGTAATGAAATTAAACATGTTACCCTCTGTTAGGGCATGTACAATGATTGATAAGATAGTTTTATCTTAAGTTTTGCATATAATTTAGAAATGACAAAAAAAATGTCTACAATGAGTCATCTCTTAGCCTTATCTTCAATAACTAGCAATTTCTAAAAATGTGGTGAGACATATTGTACTAAAAGATCATCTCTTGTCTTATCTTAAATAAGCGAAGACAAGCCTTCTCTTATGAGTTTTTTCTCCTCCATTTTATCATTTATCCTACGTGGCACTCCTAAGATAACACCATTGTACATGCCCTTAGACACAACTCTCTGCCATGCAAAATACCATTCTTCAAACATGGTAAATAGTTGGCAAATGCAGTAATGGATTTAAATTGGTTACCATCTGCCACACACATGCTAAACCTGGTAAAATTGTTAACAAGCACAGTAATGGGATTAAATCAATTACCACCTGCCACACACATCAATCTTTCTCTTGTGTGCTCGTAAAATATAATAGACACATAGTAATGCCTGGATAAAAATATATCATAGAATGTTGATTCTAGTTTGGATATGAGTAATTCATAGTAAAATTGCTAATTCCATTATGAGACTAGTCTGGAAACAAAATCGACATTAAATCCAAGAAATAACTAGTAACCTGGAATCTCTAGTAACGACACCTAGACCCGTTACTATGAGATCACTAATTATTACCATCAAATTTGTATGGATCACGTTCAGACATTACTAGAAAAACAAACCTTACAGCTGCATTCGTATGTGCTACCATAATATGGCAGTGTTTAACTATCATAAAAACTTGCCTTGTGAGGCCTAATCCAGAGAAGCGCGTCGGTTTATAGTAATTATGGTAGGTTGTTTACGATCAAACTCCCAGGGTGAGGGGCGCTCGCACAGGTGGTTCGACTGGTTTGCGGCGCGTAGAATAAGGTGTAGTACGCTCAGACTTGCTTTAGCATAGCTATATATATATATATATATATATATCGTCACCCTAGATGAGGAATAGTTATTCTTCACCCCCTCTATTTTACCATCAATACACTGTAATTTTACGTTCCGTAAGTTTTTTCTTATTCCCGACGCAAAAAGGACCGTAAGAAAATATATAATCGCCGTAAAAAATATTTTATTTTATGTAAAATTACAAACGTAAAAACATAATCTAAAATACACATAAACTGTAAAAAAATCGTCTTATGACCTATATTTTTATTTTTTTATGTCAAATTTTACATAGTGAATCAATAGGAATGTAACTATTTGAATTCCAAATGTAATTTAATTATGAAGTGATCGTAAGATTACCTAGGATGAAAAATAACTTATTGTACACCATGGATGATGAATAGCATCACTATATATATATATATATATATATATATATATATATATATATATATATATATATATATGACTGTTCTACGAGAAATTTTATTTTTATATATGCATAACGTGTACAATATGTAGTATCGTAAAATACCAGCAAACGAAAAAGAATTAAATGAAAAACACAAAATTAAAGAAAAAATAGATCATAAAATCAAAACCCTCCAAACATTTTAATACCGGTCGGTGTTACCAACCGGTACTAAAGGTCTCCCCGGCCCGGCACTGGCTCGTGCCACGTTGTGGCTCTTTAGCAGCGGTTCGTGCAAAACCGGTATTAAAGGGCACTAAAGGCCCTTACGAACCGGTGCTATATCCCGGTTCTGCACTAGTGATAGTGAGCCGGCTTGGGTCCTTTTGACCCGATCAGAACGGCGCCCTAACGACCGTGAGTGGCCACGCCGTCTGTCCCTAGCTGACATGGCCCTGACAGGTGGTCCAGGCATGTCAGAACCACCATTACAACGTAAGGATTCAACAACTTCGGTTTTTTAAACAACGAACCAAAAAAAGGTAGGTTTTAGGAGAATTAAAAAAGTGTCAGTTTTTCGGAATCCTACCCAAACTATGGTAGTTTTATGCTATCTACTCGCTAAATAACTTCTGTACACTTTTTTATTCCCCTTGTGATTTTTCTGACGGAAAAGGCAGGTGCCATGCCAGTGTCATGTTGATAGCCTATCATAATTTTCTGATGAATACTGATCGCCGTGGTGGCCTTCTCTTAAAAAAGTAAGGAAGTAAAGAATGATCAATGTCTGCAAGGTTTGGATGGCTAATTTTATGGGGAGAGTGCTGCCAGGGAGCGCAGAAGGCATACGCATACACCAGAAACTGAATTACCCTGACCGCCTGCTCACTTGCTAATTGCTATCGTTCCACTCTCGGAGGAACAACTTACACTATCCGCTTTGCTCTATGGATGTTTTTCAAAGTTCAGACCTCACCAGCCATCACGAGCCGTGCACGATCTCGCTCTCCAATTAACGGAGACACTTACACTGCCGTACCAGTAGCCTCGTCATCATGAGCCGTGCAGCAAGAGAACAAGAAACGAGACAAGCAAGCAACGCTGCACTCTGTCAAATGTAGTCACCCTGCACAATCTTCCTGGCGATGAACTTCCCCAGGAAATCAAATCCATGGCAGTAGAGAGCTTCGATCTCAGCACGCGTGCCCGTCTCGACCATCCGCGTCAACTCTGCCCTGTGCGTGTCCTGCAGGCACAACACCAGCTTATAACTTCCCGGTATTGAAGTTGGAGGGGCAATGCATTAGGCGGTCTCCTTGGCGCTGTACTGGAATTCAGAGAAGAAACTACTCCCTCAGATCCATATTAATTGACCCTGGTTTAGTACAAAGTTAATCAGTAATTGACTCTTAACATTGCCAGATGGTCCATAACGCACATGAATAGTTTCGGAAGACTTGCAATAAGCGTACTGGTTTTGAGTTCAGGGTGATCAGTTGATTGCATATGGGGGCATATTTAAAGGAATTAAAACTTCTCGTAACAAGTGAAACTTGACCGAGAAGTCTGGTGCTGCACTGCTACCTCGTACAGTGATACTCGAGTCCATATGGAGTACATGCTTAACACTGCCATATATGACCCATACTCAGCCGTGGAATATACCCAGGGAAGATGCTCAGTGCATTTCAGAGCTCTTGATTTTGTGAGCCAATGTCATGATCAAATTTACCAAAACATATCGTTAGTCATGCATCTCTCAACCACGGCAGTCTTAGTAGAGCCAACAAGGTATCAGGTGGCTTCAAATATAAATGATGAAAATGTTATCTGTTGCCACATGAATACTCTGAAGGCTACGTAAAGAATTGCTGTGTATACTTTTTTGTTGTATTAAAATTGGACTTCTATATTTTTAACACACCACAGACTCTGAAAATTGACAAATAGCAGACACACCTGCAGAAACTTAGATGACAGCAAGCTTTTGGCGATCTGCAAATCACGAGGTTTCAACTCCTGGAATGCACTCTGAGGGATAAGTTGCAGATCATCTCCTCTTAGTCCAAGCCATTTTACATTGCAAGCTGGAAGAAGAATATCATTAATGTTGTTTTGAAAATATGGGTTTGATCAAGCTTTGATCATCCAAAGGAATACCGTATCTGTATGATTCCAAGCCCATTGATATGCTTCCATATTTGTAAGTACACAGTATAGAGAGCCCCGCAGGGTTCCTGAATTGAGAAGAAATCTAACTTTATCCAGAAAACAAACAACCAGAATATTATGCTCCCTCCGTCCCGAATTACTTGTCGCAGAAATGGATATATCTAGACGTATTTTTAGTTCTAGATACATCCATTTTTGCGACAAGTAATTCGGAATGGAGGGAGTACATATTAACATTAGAAAGTGCTTCCGTTCACAAAAGAAAGCATTAGAAAGGGCTTAACCAGTCCACTAATGCAAATATTGGCATATTTGGAAAAGTCTGGCTCAGTCGATGCAAGATAAACCTGTTTCAGAACATTTAAAGATAAGTTGGATCAGTACGAGTAACTAGTATAGTCAACAACATAAAGGAGTGTATTAGAGGTACAGAACCTTGTGGCGATATCAGGATATCCTTTTGCAGTGATGAGGATACATGGAATCTGATTATATAAGCGGTCTTCAGCCAGCCTCTGAAATATGGCATCCTTGTTCAAATAGGAGGGCTGTCAGCTGGAATTAAATCAAGTGGAATACAGCAATGCATTGTAAAGGGCAAAAACAGTACCTTCTCCACTACAATGAGATAACGGGCATCTGAAGACAAATTTAATCTGCTCAATTGGTTCAGATCCCCAGTAATGGCATGCCCAGAAGGTCCAAGAATGGAACAATCAATGTGTTCTTCCTCCGGTTCCTAAGACGAAGACAAGGTTGAGGCTGTTGCAGTTTCATGAGGAGGCAAACAAGAGTTTTATTGATCCCCTTAACAGCAGCACATATTTGTATCAGGCAAACCAGTTTTCAGCATACACACACATGCAACACAAGTCGTCCAATCAGAGCCCCTCTACTTGATGCCATGATTCCTAAACTCTGCCTTGTGCAACGGAGCAATGAAACAACATCTACACAAGACCAAAGTGCAAAATCTGAGTAAGCGACTATGGATATGTCACATGATGACGAAAAAGGAACAAAATGCAGTGTTTGGATTTTGAAGACCTTGGATAGTTTGATTGACATGACGCTGACAGCTGAAGTACTTGGGTGAGTCCGATAGTAGTTTGTAGAACAACTCCCGCTGGGTGACAAGCTTCCCTTCGCCCAAGATCTTGTAGCACATCTCCATGACTTTCCATACTATTAAAATTACACAACCATTTTATAGATGACTAAAAAGATGCGTCCAATCATGAAGAATGCATTCCTGACATACTGCAGAAATCAACAACAACAACAACCTCTGACGAATGCCTTGGCATCATTTTCTCTCATTAGTGACCTCTTGCAAAAGGCGTAGGACAGATAAACCGATGAAACATCGCTCAGCAAGCCGCTGCGCAGGCTGCAATTGGTGGACTTGCGGGAAATCTGTTGTGCCCACAACACTTAATCAGACAAGCACAATGCATTCATCACATGGATGAAACAGCCATGACTGCATTTATGAGGTGAGATGAGATAAGATGGAGGGTATGGGGTTTGTGGACCGGCGTACCAGGGGGAGGACAGAGATCCGGAGAAGAGGGAGACGAGAGCGCGGCGAGGAAATTGAGCACCGCCACCTCGATCCTTGCCCGAACCTATGGAGAGAAGCAAAGCATGTCGATTCGATCAGAGGCAGGGGCGGACGAGGGAAGTTGGGGCAAGAGTGGAGTGACGTATGACAGACCTCGGGCGGCGAGAGCATGTCGGCTGAGCAGAGGCGGCGGTCCGCACCGAAGAGCGAGGCCGCGGGCACGTCCGCCTCCGCCTCCGCCTCCGCCATCCGCCATCCGCACTGCACTTCCTTCCTCGGGGGGACGAAATGGCAGCCGGCCCTTAGAGGCTCTTTATGCTGTGATGGGCTGGGCTGGGCCCTAGTGAAGCATTTGGGGCCTCTTTGGCATCTCTGGCCCGACTCAAACCATGCTTTGCATGTAGTTTGTTTGCATCCATTCCCTTTAGTGTGTTTGCTTGCCTATATGTTTGCTTGGTTACATACAACACAAGTGTTATGGTAACTTTTTGGTGGGTTTACCATCACACACACAACAACATAATAGTCACAACATAAACCATTAGCACATGATAAACCATAACCATACTTTGCCATACAGTACTAATAATCATGTTCATAAAAGTACTAACGTAATAGTACCACAAAGTCTTCAAACATGACTAACAAACCAGAGATATGATAGTATATATAACACCCTAAGCACCCTCAACATCCATGTCAAATGCTTTGTGGTGCGGCTCGCACTTGGCCACCACCTCACCGTCCTCATTGATGAAGACGATCACCTTCAAGTTTGCAGGACTCACCAACTTGAAGGTGAAAAGGCACCCGATCCTAACGTCATTAGCTACATAGAAGCCGACCAAACCCTTATTAAGGTGAGCCTGCTGCTGATCATCCGGGCGGTGACCTTCCAGGTGCAGCCATTGTTCGTCGTGAGGGTGAACTCCGTTAGACGGGGACGAGGTGCTTACTGAAGATAGGGGGCATCTACAAGATACCCCAATTTCGGTGAAAAGACAATCTTTCATAAGTGTGTTGGGTTGGCACTCTCATGGCAATGACCATATTTCTTAACCCAAGAGCATCCAAGGCATAATAATTATATAGGCATTAGGTCCGTAACAAGTAGACCATTCAACTTACTAATGTCTACTACATTACTCCAACTCAAGACCGCTATCTAGCATGCATCTCAAAGTATTAAGTTCATACAAACAGAGTAAACGCATTAAGCAAGATGACATAGTGTAGACAAAATAAGATCAATCAATATGATCAAATCCCGTCATTTTATCCTTAGTAGCAAACATACAAATATGTGCCCTTATTCTTTCCGTCACTGGACAGGATCACCGCAAGATGGAACCTACTACAGAGCACCTCTCCTACTGAAGATAAATCAATCAAACTTGGCCAAAGTAGACAGATAGTTTGGAGATAAATACAAAGCTATAAAATTGCACAATGACGACGGCTCAAGAACTCAAAATATATCAATGAATAATTTGATCATAAACCCACAATTCATCGAATCCCAACAAACACATCGCAGAAGATTACACCGGATTGATCTCAGAGGAGATCATTGTATTGAAGATAAAAGAAAGAGAAGGCCATCTAGCTACTGCTATGGACCCGTAGGTCCTGATGGGGTCACCTACTACTGGTAGGCTCATGGGCCTGACATCTAAGGCCCACCTAGGGCCCCACACCATCATTGCGAGGTCCCTAGACCGCAAGCGCATTCAGATGCGCTTCCTTGGGAATCCACTTGGATACACCAACGACACTCAGACGTCTTCCCTCTAGTCGACCACTCCAGCAGCACTCGAACAGAGGAGGCGTAGAGGCGACGTGGGAACCACAACGGTCGAGGGTCTTTACATTGGACATCAAGTGTAGTTATGATTGCCATTACTAGTAATTGTCGTAGTTATGCTCATTCCTCTCCCTTGTAACGTGGCATTAATGAGCCGAGGCGTACTCTATATAACCCTCTTCAGCTCCATGGCAAGGGTTTAGCACCCATTGTAATCATACACCCCAAGAGAAAACACAAGCCTCCGGGCACGAGACGTAGGGTTGTTACCTCTCCGAGAGGGGTCTGAACTCGCTAAATCAGAGTGATACACCTGCGTCGTAGCTAGCCTCCGCCCTTTGTTCGTACCACTAGTACTCATTGTCAGATCTTGTAGGAACTACTCACACATCATGATGGAGGCAACAAGGTCGAGGAAGATGGACTCCCCAATGGTTTCCCCCTCTGATAGAGTACCGGCAAATGGCTCCATATGGGACCGTGGTGGAACAGAGGCTTGTAGCGGCAGAATAATTGTGTCGGGTCTCCCTCTGAGGGTTTTGGAATATTAGGGAATATATATGCCAGAGATTAGGGGAAACAGAGCATCAAGGTGCCCATAAGCTCACTCGGTGCGCCTACCCCCAGGGCTTGTGGGTCCCTTATGTGTCTTATGGTCTCTCTCCGAAGCTTCTGGGGTCTCTTATGTTCGAAAAAAACGACTGTAAAGTTTCGTCGTGTTTGGACTTCGGTAGGTATGGTTTTTCTGTAAAACAAAAAAACATGCAAAAATAGGAACTAGCACTAGGCACTAAGTTAATAGGTTAGTCCATCAAAATGATATAAAATGACATATAAAGTATATAGAAGTGATAATATAATAGCATGAAACAATAAAAAATTATAGACACGTTGGAGATGTATCAACCGCTGCATGGTCTTTGAGTGACGGGTACATCCAGATCCATGTGTCCCGACACGTGATTCCCACGTCCCCATGTGGTCATCAAGACCATGCATGTGCACTGGGTTGGCCACCCGATGTCATGCCCTCTACCTTGCAATGAGATGGATAACGATCTCCATGGCTCACCACGTCGCGTTTGCACCAGCCGGCTAGCCCGAGCAACATGACTTTCTCCTTGGATGCACCGGCTACAAACCAACCTAATGAGCGCCTACACGGTGGACATACCCAAAGACTGCAACGCCTCTACTCAGACACAGCGATGGGACGTGATGCAATAGGACAACACTGACACCACCGTACTAAATGTGGTAGGCCCTAACGCAGCCAAGCCAAACAACAACAATGTCCCCATCAATAGTTGCGAACATCACCCCTACACAAGCCGACATGGACCAACTTTCGCCATCCCTTTAACGCCCCCCACACCAAACGTAAACGGGAACAAACAGTAGCCAATGTTGAGGACAAACTAACATGGTTGAATTGTTTTGAACTGACGAGATACTTGAACGTCCATGCTCGGTCAATCCGATTCACCATGGGCAGCCATCACGATACGATGAACCAACAAACTGGCAACCAACACATTAGAGCAACCCCAAGGACTAAACCCATCACTGCATCGGTTCATACCATTAAAGTGAATGCAATCCCGAAACTAAAGGCCATTACCATTATGGCTAGCACCTATATAAACCCCCATCGGACTGCTGCAACAATAAGAAACGTGCCACGGCCTAAAACATGGCCGCCATTTAAAACTCACTGCCAAATCGACAACAAAAATGAACAGAGAAAACAGTGTGTCTTGCGGTAGCACGATGAAAGGAAAAAGATGCCAAACAGTAGAGAGCATGGCCACGAACACTGCAGGAAAGGAGGTACCCACCTAAGATAGATACCGTACACTAACCGAGTTGAACTACACACTTTTAAACGCCATAGACACTACAAAAAAAGACACATCCATGACATTTTGGGCCGAACGAAATTTTTTTCTGTCATACTTATGACACTTCTATGATGATAATTGTGACAAAACCCGGTATCATCATAGATGTGGTGGGCTCCTACGTCTATGACAAAAAATCATGATAGAAAATGGGCTTTTCGTCCTGGGTGGGCCGGAGACGCAGCTGCAAGACATTCTTTGGGCCGTCCATGACGAAAAAAACCGTGGTAGAAGCGAGGGCGAGGAAAATATCGGGGTGTTCCCGGTTACGGTGGATGGTCGGGGCCGAGTGATGCGTGTTTCTCTCGTACATGCACGCGCTTGGGTGCGAGGCGTTGGGCTCTAACAGAACCCGAGTGAGGCGTGCGCCTATAGAACACGAGCGATTGCACTGTAGGCTACGCGTTACTGAACCCGAGCGATCAATCGATTGCTGTTAACTGAACCTGATCGAGCGATTCCTTCGCTACTGCTGCTAACTGAAGCCGATCGATGCTACCTCTGGATGAACAGTGAGCGTTGTTGGGGGGTTTGGATGAACAGTTCCCGGTGGGGGTGGATGAACAGGACCCCGTGATGTTGCCTCTGGATGAACAGGACCCCGATCGATCGAGCCGGTTGGGGCTGGATGAACAGGACCCCGTGGAGGGCTGGATGAATAGGACCACCCCGTGGAGGGCTGGATGAACAGTAGGCGGTGGAGGGCTGGATGAACAGTAGCCCGTGGAGGGGTGGTTGAACAGGAGCCCGTGGAGAGGGTTGGTTGAACAGTAGCCGGTGGAGTAGCGCGCGGTGGAGGCTGGATGAACAGGAGCTCGTGGATGAACAGTCGCAGGTGGAGGCTGGAGGGGGTCGACGATGGAGATGAACAATATCCCGTGGAGTCCTGTTTTGCGGTATGCCACACCCCTCCCGATGAACAGGGCCCCCGTTTCGACCGTAGCGCTCCAGCACAAGTCCGCTTCCTTCGTTTTGTGGTACGCCGCACCCCTCCCGATGAACAGGACCCCCGTTTCGACCGTAGGAGGTCCGTTTCCTCCGTTTTGCGGTA